TCAGGATTTTTTACTCACCATTGGTCTTCTGTGACAAGGAATTGTTCCTGGTTTGAGGGGGAGTGTCAACTATCTTCTTACTCATGCACACCAAATGACTTCAGGACTTTCTACTCCTTTTCTTGAACGTGTTGTTCTTTGGTGATGGGTTTGGTATTGCAATTGAGCTTTATTCAAAATGCTGAAAAGAAGATGTTGAACAAGATGTCCTGACATCTTATCTGAAGACTAACTCCATGGTGCTGTATTATTGAGTTCAAAAGTTCCTGAAGACTGCTGTTGAAGAATTGTTTGATTTATTGCTGTAATCTAGGTTGTAATTTTTATTATTTGTTTTAGCCAAAATTTTTCAAAGGAGGAGATTGTAAGTTCCTTAGTTTTAAGGTTGACATGAATTTTGTAAAATAAAATGTAGCATCAATATGTTATATAAGATGTGTTAACTCGCTAACAGGAACAAGTTTGAGCAAGAAGTCCTATTCTATGTTATGACATGTTGAGTTAAAGTATTTCAACATATGGAACAACATGTCATATAAGATGTCCTATAAAGGAGCATACGACATCACGCCTGAACTGAGCTGAATTAACGGATTCAGTTATAATTTAACATATGCAAAATATTATGGGAATATTATACAGTATTATGTGGCGCTGATTTAAAAGTCAAGAAGAATCAAGTCAGAATATTGAAAAATATGTAGTTTCTAAATATGGTGATATTTTAGGAAACTAATTATTGAAGACTTTGTTTGTAGCAGAAGTTACTGATGATTTGTAACATTGAATGTGTTGTGTTTTGAAGGCCCAAATCCAGTTGGTAATACGTTATAAATAAAAGCTTTGTAACCTAGGATTGGTACCAGTCATGTTTTGAAAAGATGTAATCATTAAGGTTGAGTCTGTAGCCACTATCTAGGATAGTTGGTGTAAGTGAACCACTCAGATTGTGAGATGGTCATTGTGTTCTCACTCAGAAGTTGTGAAGTAATGAGTTGAGTATTGTTCTTGGATAAAACTTTTAAGCAACTCCAAGTTGTATTCTTAGTTAGGAGTAAAGTTGTAAATGGTAGAGTTTAACTTTAGGTCTTAGCTAGGTATTGTCATGGAAGTGTGTCTTCCTGTTTGTTCAAAATTATTTTGATCCAATCACTGTATGTGATTGAAGAGGGATTGAGGAGGGTCCCATATCTAGGTGAGTCTTAGATAGAAGTATAACATATGTAGTGATTAAGTGAGTAGACTGTAAACTAGTATATTTGTTGCAGGTCTATGAATTAATACTATCGTAGTGGACTTGTCCTTGGCTTGGTATGCCCCCAGAGTAGGAGAGTTGCTTCGAACTAGGTTAACAATTCTGGTGTGTTGTTTATGTTTTTCAGTACTATTTTGTATGTTTATACCTTGCCTGTTTGTTTAAGTCAAATCAAATATCCCAATATGTCATAGGACATCTGAGTTATGTCATACCGAAATTTCAAGCATTATACCTATTATTGAGTCTATTATCCCCTTACTTGGTTCTCTTAGCAACAATTGATTATGGTTTGATGAATACCTTTATTCCTCAAACTATAACCTTCTCCTCTTTAGCCTTCTAGCCTCCCTTTTTACAAATTATGTTTTTTTACATACTGATAAAAAAGCTCTTAAACTTAAGTTATGTTCCTAATTTATATCATTTGGATAAATCTCTTTATAATTATAATTTCTCCCTCACTAACAACTGTTTTTAATTCCTTACTCCCCTCTATTTCTCATAAATCACACTTTGACCTTAAACCTCATATTTTCTATTAAATTAAATAAATCTATTATTTTTTAAATTATTAAAATAATTTCAAATAATTTTACTAATCTATATTTACTCTTCACACTCCCATCATAAGATCACACACCCATATCACCTATATTAATTCAATTATCACACATAATAATTAAATTAAAATACAATTAATAAAGTAAAATAAAAACTTAAAAACTGGAATTTGACAAAAACCACAGAAGAACAGAGCTTCAGATGCTTATCTGCGTATGTGACACCGTGGATCGAATGTTGCGATCATGATGCTTCTTGAACCATAGGTATCAGTGCTACTACGCTGCTGATAACCAGTAGTGCTATCTCCGATACAGTGGGCCTAAGGAGGTGTACCTGCATGGTTAACACTCCAATGTCTAAGTTATTTATGGTTTAAGATAGGTGATGATGAACGTTGAGCTTAGTGATTGCGTATCTTAGAACCCTTTACAAAGATATTTTTACCTTTGGCCTGACGGAGTAGGCTAGGTAATGAGTCTTATGCCATTGAGCCCTCGACCCACAAGGAGTAATGGATATGAGTCTTTGGTCTGCATGGACTGATGGGTCTCAAATCTTGGTCGGTACATACCGATAGGTCCCGAGTCTTTGGCTAGCATAAAACAAGATGTATTCTTCACAATCTCCCATCTTTTTGATGATGACACACTCTTTGAATTTGAATTTTTGATAATGATTGAAAAGTCTGCTCCTAAGATGTATGTCTTCCTATTAATTGGCGAATCTTACAACGACAAAGTTAAACTTTTAATGTCATTATTTCAGATTATTGTTATTAGTGACAACAATCTTAAACAATGATTTCAATTTTAGATTAAAGGATTTTTATTCTTCTCCGTGGTATTTTCTATGGTACAGTCAAGAAAATCTCTTCACAAAAAATATTAGTTATGTCTATATTCTTGACACTGTTACCATTTTCAGTGATATATTTTATGACTTAAATCGGGACTAAGGGAGTCATTTACCCAATTAATGATCTATAAATTAAATTGAATATCCAACACCTTCATATTCATATCAAATCTCGTGAAAAAGGTCGTTTTGTTTGGTGGAGGCATAAAAATGGATTTCGATCAAAGATTGCTACAAGATAATTAGTTAAGCTTGTTTTTTTCGGTGCCTATTTTGGAATCTCTAAAAGCAAAAGCTTTAACTTGTTTATAAAAATCTAAAATCCCTAGCAAAATCCTTATTTTTCGCTAGAGATTGATTATACTCCCTTGTGTTTTTTGGAACAGGAGGATGTAGATCACTTGTTTTGCTCTTGCTCTTTCTCTAATCTCTTATGGAAATTTTTTGGCTTGTGGATTGAAGTTGATGCATCTTCTATTGCGAATTCTTTGTTGGTGAGACTCCAACATTTAAATTCATCCATTTATTTTTGATTTTTTGGTCTTGCCTTTTATTAGTCCATTTGGTCTTGTAGGAATCCTATTATTTTAAAGGGCATTACTCTTATAAGTTTGAATGTGTTGAGTTTTATTAAGGTTTTAACTTGGGATTGGTTCAATGCCTTTCATAAAAAGGGAGGAACATCTATTGGTTAGATTGGTGTAACAATCTCGGGTTTTACTGAGAGTAGTTTTGTAGTTCTTGGTTTGTGGTTGTTTAATGTTCGTTGGTTGTTTTTTTTCTCCTTGATTTTCTTGGTTGCATAAGAGTGAGCACCTCTAATGTTTATTTTTAATTCCAAATTTCCCCTGCTTATAAAAAAAAAAATCAAACCTCTTATTGCTAGCTCTTATATTTGAAATTTGCACAAAACATTGATTTTTCTTTGCTTTTCAACCAATAACTTACTGCTCTTATACTTTGTTTGGGAGTTTGGAAGGGAAGAGAAGAGTGAATTAAAAAAAAAGAAGAAATTATAAAAGAGTTTTGGTTGAGAGGATTTTATTTTTAGTTATTACACAAAATTCTCCTAATTTGAGGGAACTAAAAAATTATATTGGAGTAGGGGTTTGAAGAGTTTTAGAAGACTTATATAAATTGTTCAAATATAATTTAAGTTGTTATAGTATTCCATAAATTTAAAATATGTTAATAACAAACACACTTTTATTATTCTAAACAAAAAATTTTCTTTAAAAAATGTTACTCTCTCTTTCCTAAATTATAAGATGTTTTTGGGTATTTCACACGAATTAAAAACTTAATTAATATTGTATGAGAAAGACAAATTGTGTATGACTTTACACTAACGCCCTTCATTAATTGAATAGGAAAGAGAAATTGAAAGAAAAAATAGTACTAATAATTACTAGAGGGTATATTAGGAAAAAATTATTAATGTTACATTGAAATTGTAAAGTGACTTATAATTTAGGATAATTTTTTTTGATAAAATATCTTATAATTTGAGACAGAGAGAGGAAAATTTTTCTATCTAAATTCTCTATTCCCCTCCCATCCGAACTCTTAAATAATATCTTATTTTTTTTTTTTTGTTTTCAACAACTCCATCCACACCATCTCTATTACACAAGGGAAATGCTCTTTCTATCCCCACACATTTGAAAATCTGAAACGACTCTTCAAGTATCAGGAGATACATGTTCAAACACTCAAAATTACATCAACAAAGGTGATGCGGATGAGAAACTCTTTATTTGAAAAAAAAAAATTATTCTGAAATACATCTCCAAATATCAAAAGATGTATCTCCAAAAAAATTTCCCACCTTTAATAAAGTGTTACACTCCAGAAATGTCACTTTATTTGTACAACAAAAGAAATTCCACTTGTGTCATTGCATCAATAATAATATTAATATAATACATGAATAATAATACTAATATAATCCAAAGCATTGCATTCATGCTTCAATTTCTATTATTTAAAGTTTCTTACTCATAGAAATGACTTTTATATTATAAAGTTCATGTTAAGTTACAACACCTTTGTTAAAATAGATGACAATTTTTCCAGAGATATATTTTCAAACAATTTATTCGATTAAAATAAATGATATTTTACTTACAACGCATTTGTTAATGTAAACATATAAAGATGAAAAAAGTAACCCTCGTAACCGAGGTGTCCTAAAAATGTTGAGAATGAAAGTTTGATTCCAATCTTATTGGAGGGAAGAAAATAAAAACTTGTTTCCTTCAATATTGGAAGTAAAATTGAATACCATAAAACAAACAAACGTGGGTATTTAATAGATGAAAAGAAAAAAAATAAAAACAGTTTGGCTATCCATATGTTGTTTCATTTTTCTGGTTTTAAAGTTGTTCGCTTAGCAAAAAACTCACGCCAGAGGTTCATTCCACGACACGACACGACACAACACATCACATTTCCACAAGGTAAAAACAAGACAATCCAGAACGCAAGAAAGCAAATCTGGAATCACTGTCTGTTCTTTGTCCACCACTACACCACCCACAAAAACCCTAACCTCAAATTCCCTCCTTTTTTTATTAAACTAATCCCTTCTTTTTCCCCTTTCCCACTAACCCCACTTTCACACACACTCTCTCTCTCTCTACACTCTCAATAGTGTTATCTGTCGCCTTCAATTACGACTTTCCTTCCACCACACTCTCTCTCTAGATTTTTTTTCTATATATAAAAATTAGGGTTTATTATTATTCGCTATGAATCAAACTAGTGCAGCGACTAAAGACTCTGAAGAAGGCGAGCCCTTGGCTCTGTCTATGCTACAATCTCAAGAACTTCCAAACGAATCCGATAACAACGATCCGGTCTCTGCTGAACAAGAACAAGAGGTTCTTGAAGAGGACAAGTTGCCAATTCATCAATCGATGGAGGAGGATTCGGTTTGTCCTTCCACTGTTTTCACTATCAGGCTTAAACAATCTAAGTCCAATTTGCAGCATAAGATGAGTGTTCCTGAACTATGTCGCAATTTCAGGTACGATAAATTATGTTTTTGCTTATGTTCATACTTGATTGGTTCATGGTACATTTTAATTTTGTTATCCTTTATGAATTCATTCAGCTGCAAATTCATTGGTTCATGCTAGGTTTAATATGGTAAATACTTTTCTCTTATCAACTTTTGTTTGTTTTTCCTTTTTCTGCAGTGCTGTTTCCTGGTGTGGAAAACTAAATGCAGTAGCTTGTGCCGCTGAAACGTGTGCCAGAATTCCTAGGTTTGTGTTTTTTTTTTAAACTGATTTGGACAAGGTCCCTTCCTGGAAATCTTACTATGTGTTATACATGTCAAGATAATTGAAGGCAAATTTAAAAGCAGAAGAATTGATTTGCATCATACTCTCTATTGACAAACTCAACAGACTTAGTTTAGTGGATATAAACATTTCAAGCTTTATAATTCTATATGTAATGCTTATTAGCGTTTATCTTTTTTCATAGTTCAACAGCTAATCCACCATTTTGGATCCCTATACATATTGTGATCCCTGAGAGGCCGACTGAATGTGCCGTATTCAATGTCATAGCAGGTATTTTTTATGTCATTGGTTCATTCTTGTTCCATTATTACCGTATCTTATGGCAAAATTTTAGGAAGTTTAAGTTAAACTGGTGTGGAGTTTTCATAGTCCTCTTGAGTTTTCAATTTAAAGCTTATGCTAATGCAAGGCAATCTGACCGTACAACCCAGCATTGGCTAGTATTTACGGTATTTAAATATTTTGGTAAAGTAGGAGTTAAGACCTGTATTCCTTTAAGAAAATTTGTAAGTCTTGATTACATTGAGTCAGAGTTGTCAACTGCAAATCACGGAAAATAGTGGGTTGTTCAAATTCCACTATGAAATAGTGTTATAGCACCACTACGGCTTCCATTTTACAATATTTTGTACAAAGTAGCGTATCTCAGAGCAATAGCAATCTGTTTTAATTCCGCTATGCAATAGGGCTAGAGCACCACTATTGCCGCTTTTAACAACAATGATTGAACCTGGAAAGATCCTTGATATATTTAAACTTTATGAACATTATACGTCATATATCTGTCGGTCCACTTGTTTTAATTGAATTACTGTTGGAAAGGCATTTCCCTGTGAACTCATTCCATTTAAATAGGATATCAAAGAGGGTAGTTTAATTGATTAACATGCAATTCTGAAGGATTTTTCTGATGGAAAATGCAAATTTATAGTTATGATTGTTATTACACTTACTAAAATATAAATAAAAGAAGCAGACCAATACTTGAAGCTTCCATCATGTTCAGATCTGAAAAGGGTCAAGGCCATTACAATAAAATACCAAATAAAATCTGAATAAATAGTATATACTAGGATTCCTAAACTGGATTTTGAGGTCCTGTATATGACTATATGGCATAGCTGAAGTTAACAAGAAGTTAGCTGATGTGTACATTTTTCTCTTCCCTTAAATATGATGGTGCTTAATTGACATTACTTTTGCGGTTTTGTTTTTGGAAATATAATTTTTTATAATTACATCTTCTGCAGATTCTCCTCGCGATTCAGTCCAGTTTATAGAATGGTCCCCCACCTCTTGTCCCCGTGCATTACTGGTTGCAAATTTCCACGGGAGGGTCACTATTTGGACTCAACCTTCTCAAGTAAGTGCTAGCTCTTAGGGATGGCAACGGGTAGGGTAGGGTCGGGTCGGGTGCGGGTTTCACACTATCCAAACCTGCACCCGAAATCACCACCCGAACCCAAACCCAAACCCAAAGGCTATTCGAGTGGCAAAATAACACCCACGTCCACACCCGTTGGGTTCGGGTTTTTCCACCCAAACCCGCAACACAAACACAAAAAAATACAACAGCAACATTACAATAACAAAAACACAAAAAATAAAAAAAAATACAATAGCAACATTTCATCAAGGTCTCTCAAAGAAATTAAGGAATTAAATTACAACTTTCCATCATGATTGGTAACATTACATCAAGGTCTCTCAAAGAAATTAGGGGTACTTATGTAATTTAATGTCTAAGTGGTGTGTGGTTTCGGGTGCGGGTTTGAGTGATCCCAAACCCGCACCTGAAATATCGGGTGGCGCCCGAACTCGAACCCAGTCAACTCGGATTTTCATCCGTTGACTCGGGTTCGGGTGCGGGTGGGTCCCACGGGTTTGAGTCTGTCTGCCATCCATACTAGCTCTTGTATTCCACCTCTGTGTTATATATTTGTTCTTCTAATAGTTTCTTCATTCAGGGTCCAGCTAATCTTGTCCGTGATGCTAGCTCTTGGCAGCGTGAGCATGAGTGGCGGCAAGATATTGCAGTTGCTACAAAGTGGCTATCTGGAGTGTCTCCGGTATGCAGCTACCTAGTCTTATGTTGATGACATGTTCAAATAGTCCGTACATTTATTTTGATGAAGTCGTTTGTACATTTTGATTTGTCTATCTTTCCCCATGAACCTTTGTGGTTATGTAAGGGATAGATATATGTTCTTTTTCTCTCCTCTCTTCTCCTTTCTTTCCTTATTTGGTACTAGTAGTTCACAACTAAAACTCTCAACGGTTAAACCTTTGACCAAATAGGTTAACATCTGGATCTCATCATTCTTCAGTATGATAGACCTTAGTTTGAATTGTAATATGAATCTGTTATTTTGATAAAGATCTTAAGCATTGCCTGAGAGATGGTTAGAACCAAGTGTTGCTTACCCTTAAATTGTAGAAAAATAGGAAAGTGTTGTAGTTCTGTTCCTCTTATCACTACTTCTCTTCTCTTCTGGCCCGTTCTTACATATGTAATTGACCCCTCCATTTACCCTCTGTGCAATTAATACTTGATAGTATATTTTGGATATCATTCTTTTAAAATCGCGGAGATTCTAATCCCATATGATTTAAATTGAGCAAAACTATTATTCAATAATTCATTTTTAGTCTGAAGCAACTGTTTTATGAAAAAAATAGTATAGGTGGCTATCATCCAAATCGAGTGCTGCTACAAATCCGAAGCTTACATTTGAGGAAAAGTTTCTCTCACAGCAATCTCAAACTTCAGGTGATTTATCCTGTGTACATTGTTTCTGTTTTCCTTTTTTTTAGGGTACTTGAGAGATGTAACTTTTGGGTAAGGCAAATAGTTGCACAGTTGGATTGTTGACTCTGATTGATTGCATTTTTTCTTACCTCAGAAACTTTGTTAGTTGCTGGTGATAATGCAATGTGTAGATGAAATACTACTTTTTATATTACTTTTGAATTATTGCCAATATCATTCCTTGTTTTGACATAGGGAACCATATGAGAAACCATCGACTTAACTTTTTTCCTTTTTTAGTGGGTTTGAGATTTAATGTTTATAATATTGCTTTTATGATTTATAAAGTTTCTTTATGGAGGTTAGAACCAAAAAACAAGTTTCTATATGGAGGAAAGGAAAATCATACAAGACTGTATGAAATTCACGGGTTTTGTATCTTTATTCCCCCCTCCCCTGTTTTGTTGATAATCACTTCTCCTTTGGATTGTTGTATTCTGTGCATTTATGTCTCCCCGATGTTTTGGGATTTTTATTGCTTATGAAAAAAAGGGAATTCTGCATTAGGCCAGACCCTCACTTTAAGCCTCTAAAAAGTCATTTTTCCTAAGAAACAAGGCTCCCAAATAAAAGTATTATTTAATATTAAAGCTTGTAACTTGTCTTTTTATCACGCCCAACTCAACTAAAGTACAAGAAGACTTGTGAGAAATATAAAAACAGATCTGCAAAAGTCTTACACCGAGTTTGAACCCTAGTTCTAAACTTAAAGCAAAGGTATTTTCCACTGTAATGACTTGCTACATTTGAAATATCCAGAACACTCACTAAAATTAGCTTCACTTGAAAAGTTTGCTTTAGGCCTACAAATGTGTTGGGTCAATCCTATGCATTTGTATTTAGGGCATCTCGAGCTTATCTCTTTCTGATTCTGCTACCTGGTAAGGTAAATGGGGATGTGTGGCATGGTAAATGGTCAAACCCCTGGATCCTAATATCACCCTAGTATTTACCAAAGGCATGAAGACGTAAGTTGATGCTAGTTGACATAAGCTGTCTCAGAATAAAGGATAACTTATTTTCAACAAAACACACTAGGAAAAATATAAGAGAAATCAAGGAAAGACATAGTATCTGGTTGCAAGGCAATTCCTATCCAAGAAATTTGAGAGGCTTGGTCTCTCCCTTCCAAGAACTAGAGGGGTTGGTTTCTCCCAATCAATATCTAGTCATAGTTAATTGCCTACCAATTTTTCTGTCAGTATCCCTATTTATTCAACATTTCAACTACTGTCTAATGACATAACTGCTGTCTAATAAAATTATAACTACCTTATTGGTTTGGACCATTCACTTTAAACATCTATAATGCAGCCACTCATAATGTTTTCCAACAATAGACCTAACACTATCCCTTTAGTGTTTAGCTGAATGGAAGTATTGACTAGGTGTCATAGTTTGTGTCCTCACCGTGTCAGAGCCAACAATTTTTTCATGTTACAAACTCCAATGCTGGAATAACTTTCCTGATGCGTGTTGTATGGTTTTTGTATTGCGTCTAATGTTAGACACCTGCACGTGCTGATGTTTGAC